CCTGACCGCATGGAGGTAACAGGGTGACCCTGCTCTTCCTCCAATGCTTTTCCAAGTCCCCTGAGAAGCGCAAGTCCAGACTCCCTGGATGGGGCAGGGCTTGGACTGCTGGGGCAGGGCCTGGCACAGCACGGCACTTGCACCCTCCTGCCTTGTGCGCCCCGCAGAAGGACACCAACCTGATGGGGGTGCGGATCCCCATGCGGAACATCTCCACAAGGAATTCCTCACTATCTCTGCAGAGGGGGCAGCTGAAGTACAAAAGACCAGCGCGCATGGCCTGTCCCTGCAGGGCAAACAGAAGCAGTGTGAGCCAGGCCCTGGTGCTGCTGAGCACCTGCTGTGTCCCAGGCCTGAGGGCATGGCTCCCACCTGGAGGCAGTCCCTGTGGAACCAGGCTCTTTTGCACGTCGGGCACACGATGGTGTTGAAGGTCATTCTGTCCTCCACTGGCTCCATGCAGATGGGGCATTCGGTGCCCGGCTCTGGAGTCACCTGCACCATCTGCACTGGACGGTGTCCAGGGCAGAAGGACCTGGGGACAAAGGGATAGGCCTAATGAGAAAGTCTTGGTCCTTCCCCAAGGGTGGCCAGAAGGGGAGAGGAGCTACCTGTATGGGGCAATGTACTGTGTAACACAGCCGCCCTCCTTGGCACAGGGCAGGTGGAACCATCTGTTGCAGCCTTCCTTGCAGCACAGGATGGTGGCCCCGCTCTGGCCGCAGACGCAGCAGTGCTGGAATGAGCCAGGCAGCCCCATCAGCGGCAGCCTGGGGACCTCCCCAGGCCGCCCCAGGGCTGCAGGCAGGGAGCAGGATGGGGCCGCTGCTGGCGCTCAGCCCACAGAGCCAGCTGGTGAGGGGAGCTCCTGTGCCAGAGGCTCCACGGAGCTGCTGGGAGCCAGACTTTGTCCCACAGCCGGCTGCATGGCCGGCCTTCCTTGCTGGGGCTCTGGGCTAAGCTCTGGCCAGCCTCTCCTGGCACAAATCTCCCTGCTCTTTTGCCAGGCCCTCACCTTCCATGCCGCCCGCCTGACTGCAAGCTGGATATCTGGAAGGAGGAAACCCAGGAGTCCAACACATTTTTTTGCTTGCCGGAAAAGCAGCGTGGCAAAATACTGCAGAAAATGGGAAGAGCTGATGAGGACAGGGTGGCAGGGACTGCCCCTTGCAATGCTGGAGGGAGTGCCCGGAGCCACTCACCAGGCAGAAGATGTGGGCATAGAGCCCGTATTTCTCCTGTTTGTCGCCGCAGGTGTCCGGGTCAGCCTCTGAACGGCGACACAGCAGGCATGCTGCAGGGGACAGACACAATGGCAGCGGGCGTCAGCAGCTCTGTGGGGCTCTCAGCCCGCAGCATCGGCCCCAAGGGCTGCTCTGTCCCTGCCTGCGTGCCTGCCTGATGGGCAGGGCTGGAGGCCTTGGAGAGCAGCGGCCATTGCGGGCACGGGGCTCCCAACAGCTGCCCCCTGGCCCAGCTGGGCCCCACTTGAGGAGGAAGGAGGCTGCCAGCCCTGGCCTGGCTGAGCAGCTCCTGCCTCCTTTGGCCTCTGCTCTGGGCCCCACGCTGGCCACCCCGACAGCCCCTGGGCCAGGCTGTGAGAGGGGCTGCTTTGCCCTCACCTTGCTCTCTGCCATCAGAGCCCTCCTGCTCCCTGTCGCACATGGCAGCTGTCAGCGCTGAGTCCCTGTCCAGGAACGCCGCTGTCTCCGCCAGGTGCTGGTCCTCTCTCTGTGGGAGGAAGAAAAGTGATGGGAGTTTGGAGAACAGGCCCAGAGCTACGAGGGTGCTACTCCCTGGTCAGCCCTGCGTGAGCCCTGCTCCTGTCCGCCTTCTGCTCCCGTCGTCGCGCTGAGGAACACCGTCGTCTCCTCTGGATATTCCTCTGCTGATTCTGGGAAGGGAGAGGCAGGTGAGCCTGCAGCACAGGCCCAGAGGCCCGAGGTGTGGGGCCCCTCTGGTCCCTGGGCAGCTGCTTCCCTGCCTTACCTTCTCCTCCCGTTGCCAGGTCGCACTGACACACGGCCTGAGCCCAGCCTTCCCTTTTGGGGCTTTGGTCGCACGCGTCACAATGGCCACTCTGACATCAGCATCTTGCTCCCAAGATTCACGCAGCCATGGCCTCACATGCCCGGTAGCCACTTGAGGCCACCCCCTTGGCAACCGAGGTTCTGACATGGTTCCAAGCCTTTGGTCAGCACGGAACCAGGCCAGAGACTCCTGCAGCAAGTCCAGGGTCCAATCCCAGGCTCCAGGGCAGCCATCGAGGGTGGCACTGTAGGCACAAAGGTGCTGTTCAGGCACGGCCACCCCAGGGCTCCTGCCCCTGGCAGTCGGTTGCCCAGAGAGCTTGTGCAGAGTCTCTTGCACTGCACAGATTCCAAACCTGCTCTTGGTGCACCGACATGTTCCTCTAGACCTCTCGGCAATAAACTGAGATGAACCTGATTTCATGCCCGTGCTGATCACTGTTGGGAACAGTGTTTATCAAGCTGGGGACCACGTCAGCTGCCTCCCAACCGCAATTCGCCTGTCATCTAATAATCTAATAACTTTGACATTTTGTATTAAAAATTTAGTATTAAGTATTAGTATTAAGCTCCCGAGAAACATCATCTTTTACACTGACTCAGCGGAAACCCAGAGAATTCCTTGGGAGTTTTCTGTGTACGTCTGACTGGAGAGGTTTCAACCGTCCTTGTCTCGGTAGTCCAAACCAGGAGGATGTTTTTCCCACAGTAAAGGAACGTTGCTAGTTTGGTCCATGTTTTCCTTCTAGCAAATATATTGAAAAAACACCGCTTCCCTAAGCACTGCCTTGCTTTTCATGTTTCCCTAAAAGTATCCAGGCCCATGAAGGAGTGGTTACCTTTCAAGGGCAATGTCTGGGTTGACTGTTTGACATCTGCTCTATGCCCAGACAGTGCCTCCCCTGTCATCTGCTCTATGCCCGGACATGGGTCCTGCAGCTTTAAGCTAGGCCCAGGGGATGGGGGGAAACCAGGGGTGTTCTTTTGGCTGTCTGTTCAAACACAGGTTCTCCTCCACTCTCAGCATTGATTCTTTCCCAGCAGAGATAGGGGGAGTTAAATTCTTGCTTGTAGCTAGCTTCAGTTTTGCCAGCTGAGGCAAGAAGTTGCTCAGGACTGCATAGAGCTTCCCTGCACACCCTTCATTTCCCT